TGGCGCGGTCTGGTTGGCGGGATCCTTGCGTTTTCACTCCGGGCGTAGGATTGACCATGGCTTTCCTACCTAGAGCACTCAGTCATGCAACAGGCAGTGTTGGAATATGCTGCTCTTAGAAGTGGTACTACATTTACAGAGTTATCTGTGCTTTCCTTTGTTTGATGAATAGACTAACCGCATCAACCCCCATTTGCTTTCTCGAGTTGAATACTTTATTTAGTTTTTTGGAAATCATTAAAAGGAGACCTTTAATCAAAGTTGTATTTTGAAATGCACCAAGAGGGGATATTTCATGTCAACTTCATTGTGTTTTTCAGTTATTATTTTGACGATGGATGCAAGCCTTTCAACTTACTTTGTTCTTAAATTCCAATACTGAAAGACATTATCTACAGTCTAATCTTCATTGATGTCTGGCTTCTTTAAGGATCTATGAAAAGCATGCTTTCTGGCATGCAGGCAATGAAACGTGCATGCCAGTGTGCCATATAAAACTGCTTGAACAAACTGAAATTCATAAGGTTGAAGATAAGCTATCTTCCCAAATCAACAGTGTATACTTACTAGAGTGAAAACAGAGTAGTATCCTGGTTTCTCCCTGTAAACCAACAGTGGCAATCTGTACAAACTACAGTTCTTGTTGCTTAGTAAGTTCATACAGGCCAGTGCTTCAGTCTCCAAATGACATACTGTCTTATGCATTTACAGCCAACAGACCTGGAAGAAAGACTTTGTCTTGGAGCTAACTCCTGAGCATTTTGAGATCATTCATCATGAAGTATGTAGTACAGGAATGGCTCAGAATAACTACCTTGCTATTCATAGCTCAAGCACTTTCCGCAATGGTTCTTCCCAATGCCACGCTCTTAGAGGAACTTTTGGAAAAGTACATGGATGAAGATGGTGAGTGGTGGATCGCCAAGCAGAGAGGGAAAAGGGCTATCACAGACAGTGATATGCAAAGTATCTTGGATCTTCATAATAAATTACGGGGTCAGGTGTATCCACCAGCTTCCAATATGGAATATATGGTAAGGAAAAACTGATAGCAACATGCAGAAAGAAATGTTATTAGAATAGTTGCTGTCACTGTATAACACACTATACTTTCAGTCTTGGCTTGCTTGCTTTCCAGTTTAAAGCTCTTGTTACTTGTTTGTCCTTTTCTTTTTTTTTTTTTTTTTTTAATAGAGGTGAACTGTAAGATAAAAATGCCTGCTTGTGGATCAAGTGTCATGTTCTACTGATACTAATGGTTTTGATCTTTGATAGCTCTCCGGAATTTAAGTGGCAGTTCTTAAGTATTAGGGCCCAATTTCCAAAATTGCATTTCTCAAAGTAGTTGATTGTGACCTAAGAAGTTACCATATAAGAAGAGTTACTGAACTATGAACTTTCAAAATAACATGGATTCTCTCCCATGCTTCTAGGTCGGATGGAATTTCTGAGCAAGAAAGTATTCTGTTTAATTTGGCATCTGTTACTGGACTGGAGTCCTGTATGTTCCCATGTTTAACAGAGTAATAATGTACTGCATAATTTCTGTTTGTGTTTTTCCCTTAAAAAGCCTCTATATTTGGTTTGTTGTTAGTAGACTTAAATCTCCCATGGTTTTGAACTTTGATTTTATGCCATAGTTCAAGGTTAACTCTCTCTTTGCTAATTAGATCAAATCAGGTCATTAGAGCTTTGAAGAAGTCCAGAGGTCTGACAAGAATGGACAACTTTTCTTCTGTATTCTTGTTTCTGCAAAAAAGCACAAATCTTTTTCCTGTGTCCACACTGTGTATTACTTATTTATCTGTTCAGGCACCAGAGAAATAGCATTACATTAGGTTGGGTTGTTTATACCGAATATTACACAGGTTTCCTGACACTACATTGTAAGGTTATGACAGAAGATGATACTAACACATTTCAAGATGTAGAAGATATCTTTCGCATCTTGGAGTGATGTCTGTCAGCTTGGAGATCTGATTGAACTGAGCATATACGTGTGCTGGAGAAACTGTGCTTACTTAAACCATTAATAAAGGTGGTTTAACTTAAGTTTACCTATATGAGTGTTATCATATTAGACTAAGAGCCATCAGAGAATTAGTTACCATGTTTCATCTCCAGGTAAGGGGATGATAATATCTAAAACCCCTTTAACCCCTTGAGTTAAAATAGTCTGCACATATCTTTGAACTTTGGTTTCTGTTATGACTTTATCAGACCTTGTTATAATATAGGTTACCTTCTTGTTTCCAATAACCTAAGTTGGTTTATTTCTGGAAAACTTAAGAAAAAGCTATCGAGACTTTCTGTAAAATGAGAATAGGAAAAACTGTATTATTTTTCTATGTTAAAATACCATAGCGCTTTCCCCCAAGATTCTGCAAAAGGGTAGCTTTGATTTTCAGTTAAGTGCCTTTTTCCATTCCTAATGACATGCTGCATTTACCTGTATTACGTATTTTGAAAAGAACTTGGATATACTCCTTGGAGTTACACTTTTGACAGCTGTATTCTTCACAGATTCCTCCTGCACTGCACACACTTTGGCCTAGATTTTGTGTTAGGTCTCCATCTGCAAAAAATTTTTGTTGTGGTGTTACTGTGTTTTTATTTCTGTGCTCCACTATGACACCAGACCCAGAGTACAAGTAGCATGGAAAAGAGGTTACACAATTTTAGTATTAAGGAGATATTCTTATATCCTGTTACTCAGAATGGGACAGCAGCTTTCAAGAGAGTGGGATTCAATTTTGGGATAGTATCCAAGGGAATCAGGGATTGGCATTTGTGAATGTGAAGGGTCTGTGTACAGAATCTGGGCAAAGGAATGGATATGTGTTTAGAGACAAAGACCCATGAGAAGGGCATGCAGAGGGGCTACGAGTCTGGTCAAGGAGGTGTTGAGAAATCAGTGGTATTGAGTTAAAGAGCATTTGATGAACAGATGTGGTTAGGGGAAGAACTGTGACTTCTGGGCAGAGAAAATTTGGGAGCAGGAGTTTATGGAGGGAGGTTAAGAGCACAGAAATTTGCTAAGAGGCTATATAAAAAGACTGAACCTGTGAGTGAGTGGTAAGGGAGATTGTGGAGGAAGCTGTCAGGAGTCAGTATTGGGAACTGAGAGGATGGTGTAGGAGACAGTGGGAACCCTCCACTGCTTGAAAGAGGGAGGAAATTACGGGATTTAATAAGAGAGAAATTTGAGTACAGAATTGTAACTGGTGTGGAGCCACAGATTTAACAGCAAAGAATGAACAATAAATAATAGTTCATTAGGGAAGCATGGTTTGTTTTGTGCAAAGAGATTCCTTTGGAAAAACTAATACCGTAATCATAGTGCATTATGCATATTGCATAATTTATTTATGCAATAGATAAATTACTTGAGTCAAACTCTGTTTCGTCATTACATAACTTTGTCAGATATAGCTGTATAACTATTACTGCTAGCTTTTTGCTCATAATTAAAACAAATGTTTGTTTTGATACTTAATAGTGAATTTATTTTTCTAGATTCATATCAATAATAGGATGAACAAGTTCCACTTTTCCAGGTAAAGTGGTAAGCACTCTTAGATCTGTTTTTCCAAGGGTTTGTGACCTCTGGATCAGTTTTGTGAATGACAAAATGTTCAAACACACAAGTATTGATAGAATTAAAACTGTATTTGGCTTTTTTTTTTTTTTTTTTTTTTTTTTTTTTTAGGTAAAATGAAGGATGGGGATAAATGGGAATGTTTTATTAAGAGAAAAAGTTTTAGCAGATAGACCCATACCATTAAAAAAAACCAAACCTTGCAATGTAATACATCGGGTCTTGTCATAGGTTAGTTCCAGTGCTCCAGAATAGGGAAACAATCCCTCTAAATGTTTACCTGATGTCTGGTGAGCTACAGAAGTAGAGCTGAGTGCTTTATTAGTATAATAGCCTGGTATGGGCACAGTCATGTCACTGTAAGCTGCCCTTTGTACTGGTAAAACCTTTCCTTGTAAATGGCTAGCTTTGCTTGTGGAAGTGAAGTTTTTTATCTTACTGAATCTGAATGAAGGTGATCAAGGTCCCGGTGCCTCACTGGTACATCTGTCTCTCTAGAAGTGTGTTGCATAGTTGAGAGGTTTAATATCTCCACGAGTGCTTGGAGCTGGGAGAAGGTTGCATGCTCTCATTGCACCATTAGTTTGTGACAACTAAACTAACCTAACCTAATGGGCGGCTCTGGCTGAAATGCCCTGTTCTGCTTCTGCCACTGGCACCTATCTGAGCTGATGATGAGACTGATCCAAGTACCTAAGAAATCAGATTTTACTTTTTAAATTTAATTTTTAAGATATTTTTTCCAGTCTGAGTCATGAAACTGGCTCCCTGTGTAGCTGAATGAGATGAATACCAGCGCTGATAAAAAGAGAGTAGGAATGCATAGCTCGGGAATGGGAGGGGTGAAGAACCACACCTTGGGTAGGAGCTATTTGCAATATGACTTAGCCTTATGTTTTAGAGAACCTTATGGCTAATGCCACATTTTGGTTTAAGTTGTGTAGAAGAGAAAAGCTTTCAAGGATGGTGCCCAGCATGTAAGATCTTGGTTCTATTTTTAAAAAAAGGAAAACAAAAAGGTTGAATTACTGATTTTCTGTACAACTATACACTTTTCCCTTATGCCCTGAAAAACAGAAAGTGTACAGGGCTATCACAGTTCAGAGACGTAAAGTTACTAGCTGCAGTAAGACTCACAGTAGGTATGTTTAAGGAACAGAATGTTCTCATGGTTGTCTGGGTGAATTTACCACATGACAAGTTCATCTTTCCAAGTACTGTGACTCTACTGGTGAGCAGTAATGGATTTGTAGGGTAAAAGGATAAGACTAGAGCATGTGAAAAGAGAAACTTCTGCAGTGAAACCCCCCAGATTCCAGCAAACAGCAGCTTAGGGACTTCCAAAATCTCCTGTTGTAGTTTTTATGGCCAATAGTCTTGGGTGGAATTTTCTTTTATGAATCTGAACGCTTTTGAGTCCATTTGTATTCTTTGAATCCATGGCATCAAGATGCAGAGCTCTATATATTTAATTACAGACTGTGGGGAGAATACATTTTTTTTTTTTTTTTTCTTTAAACCTGTGCTTTTAATTGATGCCTTGGTTTTTGTGTTTTGTTTGTTTGGGTTTTTTTGTGAGAAATAATAATTTCCTCAATAGTCACATCTTTTCAACTGGAGAGTCCTACTCGTCTTGCTTGAAAAGTGTTTGATCTGAAAAGCTATTCAATTTTGTTTTCCTTCTCTATCTGCTATGTTTGTACATTTTAATTCAAAGGGAACAAATAAACTCTTCATACTTACGGCATACCACAGGTAGATACAGTTTTTCACTTCCTAATAATTTCTAAAATTCTTTTACTTTTTTCATTGTGGCTGAACTAAAGCTGACATTTTTGTAGTTATTCACAATGACTCCACTATCTTTCCAATGTGCTAAGAGGTAATTTAGTACACTACAGTGTATGAATAGTTGTCTGTAATCTCCAGCAGTGTCCTCATTACTTTGCATGTGTTCACACTGAATGCTATCTGTCATTTCATCTTCGTCACTTGTTATTAGTGAGTCTTCTATCTCTTTCTTTTATTTTCTTATCTTGTTTTTAACTACCTTAAGTAGTGAATACCATCTTGCATTCCCTTTTCTTGGGCTCTTGTGAAGAAGGTATACAGCAGAGGACCATGGACACATCTTGCAGGGAATTTGAAATGTTATTTTGTATTCTTATGTCTGTTTTCTGGGTTTTATCACTTTATTTTCTTAAATTCATAATAGCTTCATTTCAGTCATTTATTAATTTTTAAATAACTTAGGAACTTTGCAGAAAGCTTAACTGCACTTAACCCTCTTCCACGTGTTGACACCTTCGAAGTTTAATACATTCAGGGAGGAATTCATATTATCTGTGTATTTAGTATGTTTTTTAACATTGTCTATGAAATCATCCCATGGAAGTCAGCTTTTAGTCTGCAGTTTCTCAGGATCTACTGGAAGCT